TACCTAAACTTGCCTGAACCATTCAACCCTTTCTTGTCTTGTGTGACTCAACTCTGCAGCTTTCCTTATGACTTTGTTATGAGTGATGGCCTAAGCCTTGGGAAGGGGGAAGAAGATGGTAAGTCACTACCCAGCAGTAGTCAAGCAGACCCCATTATTTGGTGTCCACTCTACATTTCAAATGTAATGTAATTTCCATTGCTAATCTCAAGACCTTCCAGATAATTAGAACTAGTAACTCCAGATGCTCTTTTCCAGGCAGAATAGTGAATGCCTTTCAGCTGGGCATACCAGTTGTCATGCATGACTGTGCTAGTGTTCAGTGTTCTCTCCGAACCACATGACTTCTAACAATACAAAGGCATGCACTATTCTGAATCCTTGTAGGAAAAGTGAAGTAAAATTACGTACATCTCGCTTGTTTCAAAATACTTATACACATTCCATCACCTTTCCTTCTGCTTTGGAGTCTTGCCAGACCAATAAATGTTGCTTTAGAGGTGAAATTAGAGTAACAGACGTTCTTTTAAATCTTTGCCTTGTGCAAAAGGTTCTTGAGACTAAAATGCTTATCAGGTCACTGCCAATTAAAATTGTGGTCACTGCCAATTAAAACTGTAGTCTCATGCATGAAGTGCTAGAGGAAACACCCTTCCAACAACATACAGACCACATCACAAAGGTTCCTTGTTATCATGAAGCTGTTGATAAGAACTTCTGTAATGGAGGGACAGTGCAGCCAATCATCCTGTAGACAGACAAATGATCCTGTCTACCTCAGGCAAATACTGGGACTGGTAGACCTTTATGAGCCAGGGTTCACAAAAGGTCCACTGTCCAGTGGGCACTAGTGGGGAACAGACTTGACATCTGTCATGTCTAGAAAAATCCTGTAAACAGATCAAGTCCTACCAAAAAAAAAAAACAAAAAAAAAAAGCCTGCGAGATTAGGAGTTTCCTCAGGCTGAGTGATAGAACTCTGTGAATCTCCTGATAGAGGACTAAAGGTGCTGAAGATGTCAGTGCATATCCTTTAGATATGATATTGACTAAGACATTGATAGTCCCTCATCAAGTGGGGGACACTGAGGCCTTTGTGTCTTCTGTGCTTCTTCCATTTCTTAAAAAGGAATGAATACCATCAAAACTTCCAACAAGCACCTAAAATCTAAAATCCTGATGAAGATTCAATAGCCTTATATGGTGGAGAGCTTTGCAAGCATAAAAGACTCGATGATGCATGATTTCATCATACCAGGACATTTTCAAAGCCAAAAATCTGTAGACAGGAAGTACTGAAAAAACAGGTAAATTCCCTGTTCTGTACTACTGCCAAAAGAGGAAGGTTAACTGGCTCTGAAGGACACATTAACGTTTCCAGTATTAAAGCAAACAAGAGCATCCCGAAGAAGAGTGGAAAGATTATATATATAGTCTCTTCAGATTGTTTGCAGTGCTCAAAATACTTGCATACCAAATAACCTGTAGATGAGCAATGAATAGGCAACACCCTTGTTAACAAAATCTCCATTGCTTTACAGTCATTTAGCATGAGAGACCAGAGTCTTCCTTTTTTACTAGAGCATTGCATTGAGGACGTTGCCCCTGTTAGTGAAAAGGGAATGTCTTCAGCTATTGACTTTTTCTTCTTCCTTACTCTTTCAAAAAAGAACATAAAAAAAATATATAGCTGGTTTTTTAATTCTACCACATAAGTTAGAGCAGGGCTAAGAGCTCCCATAAAAGGCCAGAGCAGGCACACTATTGGAAGTATTACAGAGCCACAGAGCACAAATTGTTACTCAGCTCAGAACTAAAGGCTTGCATAGGCATGCCATGCTTTATGTTGGCAAAATCAATGAAGGGCATTGCAGAAGCCTCATATAAGACACTGCAACGTTAAAGCCTGAGCAGGCACAGGTTGCAGCAGAGGTTTAAATTGGCTATTAGGAAAAATTTCTTCACAGCAGGAGTTGTCAAGCATTGGAGCAGGCTGCTCAAGGAAGCGGTTGAATCACCAGCCGTGGAGGCATTTATAAGTCATGAGGATGTGGCATTCAGAGACATGGTTGAGTGGTGGATGGGGCACTGTTAGACTGACAGTTAAACTCAATGAAATTAGAAGCCCTTTCCAACCTGAATGAATCTACATGATGCACTCAAGAAGTACTCTAAAAAAAGAACTAAAAAAGAGCTACCATGTTCTTGATGGTGATGAGAGTTCTGACAACAAAATAAATACGAAAAATACAACATACCCTAGAGAAAAGAAGAAAGCTACAGACTTCCAGCATGCTTCTATAACATCAAATGTTATTTTTTTATAGCTAAATAATAATAATAATAATAATAATAATAAAGCAGATGCAAGAGTGGTTATGGAAAGGAAATACTTATGCAACATGAAGATAGCAAAAGGCTGGTTGGTGAGTTTAATGGCAAAAGGACACTACATAAATCATTGTCATCATAAAGCAGCTTGGCCCTATGTTACTAAGAATTTTTGAAAAGCCATCTATTTTTAAAAAGGTTAAAGCAATTTTTATTCCTCTAAAATCTACGTGAAGATGTTTCTGCATTTTAGTTTTCCCCTACACAATGCACGTTCAACAGCAAGGAGAGCCAGGGAATTAGTATCTGCTGCTAAAATGGTTCTCTAGTTCCTCAAGGAAAGTCAGATGATTGGGATTTTATGTCCTATTTCTACACTTGCAGTAAGGATCAGTCTTTTTTAGAAACAGGCAGAAGAAATTTTATTGAGTGTAAGAATACAAAAATTGACACATTATACTGTACAAAAGGTACACCATCACTAAATGAGGCAACTGTATCCATACAAGAGGCAACATTTACAAATGACTCATACTACTGAAATGTACAAGTGCTGTGGTACCTTCTCATTAAGACTTTATATCCCAATAAAGAAACAAAACCAAAACCAAGAGCAGTAATTATGTTCTAGTGCCTACTGCCTAAATTCAGAAGCCATATTACAGAACACAAATAAAAAATAACTGCCTGACTTTCAATATCACAGAGAAAACATGTTGAACAAGGATTAAAAAATTCCCTCAATTTTTAAATTGTGAAGACATAGTACCTAGTAAACATTGCCTGGTGTTGATCTGTTAGATTACAACACACAGCCCCACAGTATTTTACAGAACCTAGATCCAAATTTGAGGTAGTTCTAAAGGCAGTTTAGCTTAACTGACATACAGACCAATAACAAAACCACATTGCCAATGTTGCTAACATGGATTTTTAAAAAATATTTGGACCACTTTAATTTCAGAATATTATATTGGCCAGCTCATTAAGCAAAGGCATCGTGATTTTGATTTTGACCCATTTTCATTATGGTTAATAGAAAGCCCTTGGAAATGCCATTTATTTTGCTCTCATTTAATCAACTGACTACTGTTCCTTGCACATGGCAAGGAACCTACAGATGCTAAAAACACAAGGTCAGTTATAGAAGCAGAGATAAACAGGTATGGGGGAGTCAAGAGAGAGCATAGCCCCTAAATGAGCACATAGTTTAAAGGAATGTGGCTCTCTTCAACAGCTCAGTTTTGCTCCATTAGATTGCTACCTCACTTTAGATAACAAAAGTATTAAAGAGATCACGAAAGGACAAAACTTCTAAAGAGAAGGAGCTGGGATGTAGTAAAGACTCATTTGTTACACGAGACAAAAAGTAAGTCTGTAGAGATAAGAGAAAAGAAGACAACAAAAGAAAGCATAAAAACTTCCCAGCTGTTGGAAGACTTTTCCAGCTGTCAAATTAGAATTCTGGAGTATAAAAAAGAACAGAAAATTAGAAGCTTAAATAATGTCATCATTATCGTATCTGAAACAAAATACTTGTACCAGGGCCAGAAGATTCATGCACTATGTTAAGAACAACTGAGTGTTAAACTCATTCTGCAAAAATAGCCTAGAATTAGACAATTCAGTCTGTGTTTAGATGGGGTCTAACTCAAGTTTGGTTGTATATCCTAGGGATCCGTGTTGCATTCAAATATTGTAGAATTAAGGAGCAGCTTTCTTTATCTATCAGCTGCTAAATGCCTTTAAACAACTGCAAAATTGTTTTTATCTTTGTATATTTGAATGTTTGACCTATAAAAACAACACTCAAATACTTCAATGCTTTTAATAGGAAATACCACCATAAACTATCCAAGATATGAATGCTGGGTTTTATTTATTTATTTTTTAACACAAAATTATACACAGAATAGATAAAAACACTACTTTCACATAGCATTGATCCATTTTCTTTAAAGAATCCATTTGGACCAGAGCTGCCCATGCACTAATTTTACTGTTACTTTCCTGAGGAAACATCAAAGTTTGTCCAACTGGCCTAACAAGAAGAATACAGACATTGTAGACCATTTTGATGTATCTACCATGCACCAAACTTACAAGTGATTAGATATACAGCCAGAATTCATATGATGTCCTATTTAGAGCTTTCTCTGGTACATATATTCAAGAAGTTCAGTGAAGTTTCATCTGGGAGTATGAGCAGCTAAAGACAAAGCTTGGTTTTCAAACTATTGTGTTTCTTTTTCTAGATTATTTACAAGACTACTATACAAGACTAATCTTTTCAAAAGATGTTTTGATTTTTTACTCATGTAAGAGGTGTCTCTATGCAGTTTCATAAGTAACTGAACAAGCAAGAGGCAGACATTTACATTTAGTCTTGCTAGTAAAATAAGGCTTGGGGAAGGATGTGGACTGTCTGTGATGTGTGTGCCCTAAACACATACATATGCTATTGAAAGTACAAAGTCTGAGCAAAGCATTTAAGAAAATGCTAATATATTGTTTAATTCTTAAATGTATTTGTGTCAACAAAACAAAGAATTACTTCCTTCCACTTAAAATCAGTTTCAGTGCTAAACACAGGTAAGTACCCATCCCTTTAGAAGGCCCCATACTAGCACTTCAGAAATGCAACATTTTTATCTTCATCTTTCTAGTGATTAGACACTTTCAGCCTTCTTTTTATAACTGTCTAGGATGCTGGTCAAGTTTGACAATAGATCTTCAGGCATGAATTCTTCATCATCTCTGTAAATTCTCGCATTCTGTTCATCAAGGTATTTCTAGAAAAGAGATACAGAAAACTTTAGTAGCTCTGTCATGGTCTGTATTTTACTGATTCTGCTAAAGCATTTTAAGCAGTAATTGCACAGGTTAACTAATTTCAATCAAACACTTTCCTGAAAGACATCTATCAGAAACAGGTTTAACCTGACAGGATGTTACTGCTGCTGAAACTTAACAATCAATTCTGATTATTTACACCAAAGGTTTTGTCAGAAAATTTAAGTAGAATCCATGGACTCGGTGCAGCAGCTAAATAACTGATACTTCCTCAGAAAGAGTAAGCTCTAATTTCCAAGTGTTTAACTGCAAATGTCTCTAGAGAGATTTAGTTCTGAATATCAAATTTTAGCTTACCACTATAGATGCTATATGAGTAGCAACTGTTTCTATAAGACGACTCAAGTTAGCACCAATTTTTCTCTTCTCTTCTGTTGTTGTTTGCAAAACGACTTGATATCTAAAAGGTAAAGATACTCAGAAGGTCATGTCCATAATTAGAGAATTCCTGACATTTAAAACAATCACTTTAAGTCTGATTTATCATCACGTTTAGCCATATTTTTTTCCATTAGTATTAATTTGGACCAAGTTACAATATATTAGTACTCAACTTAAAAAACCCCTTACATGGAAAACAGGAGTTCTGATACAGCAGACAAATATTTTTGCAAAATACTGTTGAGGAGAAACATCTTTCAGTTGTTAACTTGTGAAATTAATACACTGAGATGGATATCTGCTGAAACAGCTTTGTGTTACATTCAAGAGAATATCTTTATCCTTAAAAACCAAAATAAACAAGGCAGACATGGAAGTTAGGAGCCTTACTGTCTTTGGAGATCATGCAATTCATTTGTGGCTTCACTGAGCCCTTCATAGACACCACTCTCAAGTAACTGCTTGTGCTTCTTTAATGATTCCAGTTCATTTGCACATTTCTGCTCTTCCTCTTCTATCTCCTATAGTCATAAGGAAATGAGAAAAAAAAAGACCTTTCTCAGGTATAATTTGGATTTTTTTTTCTTCTTTCTACTACCTGATTATATCCTAATGCTTGAATTCAAAATTCACACAAGTAACTCCAAGTTCAGAACTGAAAAAAAAACAAACCCAAGGACATCCCTCCCAAACCTAAAGTTTCAGCTGTTTTCTGTATTATCCCCATCCCAGAATAAGCCTAACCATCTCTTTATTCCTTTAACCGTATTTAAAGGCATGTCTTGCAGCTACTTTCCCTTCAGAGTTAAAATCAAAAAGTGTTGTTTAGATAGTCTAAATAGCTTAGAAATGGCACACCATGAACAAATGTTTCTAGGTTAAAAAATACAACCACATTTGAGTAAGAAAATAGCTTTTTTTTTGTTTGAAAGAGAATACAATTCCAAATAATCATCTCTTCAAGGAGAATGGCACTGTTGATGCTATACAGTCCACAAAACCAAACAAAATTCTGACGTCAACTCAACATGCAATTTTGGTAGATTACTGAAACATCATCCTTCAAAAATAATTTTAATACTTAAGACTTACAAACAGCATTTTAAAAATTAGAAGAGGAATTACATGACTATGCCTTATAAGCATCTGGTGGCAAGTGTGTATTTTATGAGCTTAACTTTAGAGAAAAGTACATGCAAGAGCACAGATCAAAAGCTAAATGTCATGTGGTTTTGAAAAATATAAACTAAATTAATTGCCTTTATATATCTATATATACACCTGCCTCAGCAGGTATTATAGCAGTGAAATAGCCCTGTTTCATGGCTATAGCACAGGAATTTGGATTTACAGGAGCATATATGGTAAACACTGGCATAGTTCAAAGAATATTTTTCTGCAGGGCACCACAGCCCCACTAAAGCAGTGTTGTCAGAGAAGTTGGGAGGTACCAAAATAGCCACTCAGTTGTTAACAGAGAGGGTTATGTTTTGTTACTGAACTGCAAGTAGGGAAAAGGATAGGGACTGCTCCTGTGCTGGGAAAGGAAGCAAAAGGAAGCAACAGTTTGAGATCATTAAAACAATTTCACATGCTTGTTGGTCAATCAATGTTTTCCTTAGTTTTTACAGAAGCTGATTAAACATGTTTACTAAAAACTGTAAATGTATTTATTATATACAAATTGATTAGACAAGACAGATTCTGTTAATCCTAAAATTTGCTTCAAGTACATGCCCGAAGACATCCTGATGTCAGATGATTGTTGCTGCTTTTATTACTGGATGCAGTAATTTATGATTTACAGGATCTGCTACAGTATGATGCCAGATTCTCTTACAAGAAATTCAGTTAAGGTAGCAGTCAAATCACTTTTCTGAAAATAATGAAAAAATCCTGTAAGAGGAAGGGAAGAAGGCAAAGGCAGAAGCCCAAAAAGAATGCAACCCAAAAATTTAGCTGTAAATACAAAAATTAAGGATAAGGGTATCATTAAAGATAAGTTGTCATCAAACTGTAAGAAGTTCTACCTTAAGCTTCTGCTGGTAAAGATCATCCAGCTTTTCAGCTTCTTCTGTCAGCATTTTCACACTGCGTTTCTTGTCCTCTAGCATTACATTCACCTAGGATGAAAACATAACCAAGGAAATATGGTTCAAAAAGAATTCCAACATAAAAATCCATGCCACCACAAACCACATCTGGTTGAACAGGTTAAACAATTAAACTAGGCTAGGTTGGGATGGTATTATCTTTCTTCATAGCAGCCTATGTTATGCTTTGTTTTGGATAAGGTGCTAAACAGTGTGGTAACACACCAAAGTTTTGGCTACTGCTGAATAGTGCTAACACAGCATTCCAAGGCTTTCTATCCCTCCCAGGGCCCCTCACTGAGTGGGGTAGGGATAGGCAACAGACTGGGAAGGTGCAAAACCAGGCCAGCTGGCCAAGAGGACATTCCATACCACATAACATGATGCTCAGCAATAAAAACTGAGGTAAAGGTAAAAGAATGAGGAAATAAAATTCTCCTTCTTTCAATCTATCCCAAATCCAATATTACTAAAATTCTTCCTGATGACAATTTGTCAGTGATGGTAAGCCACACAATCAACTGGAATGAGCAATTTATTAAAAACAAATGCTTCCAATGTTTATGGTCTAATATATGTAAGCTACATAAACTTTAATTCAGGGAATACACAATATTTCAACCAACAAAGACCCAAATTCATAGAAAATCTTCTAGGTTTCATGACAATTAAAGCAGTTTTCTCACAGCTTCTCCCCCTCTGCTTGTCCTCAGAAAACTCCAACCAATCCAAAAAACCAACCTACCACACCACACCACACTTTAGCCATGCAAAAGGCTGAATGAAAGCAGCAGATACAGCTTTAGGGTTGGTATCTCAGTGTTAATCTTCATTAACTAACTCACCTGTTCCAAAGTATCTTCCAAAGTAATTTTCCGTTGAGTGGCTCTACTAATTTCTTCCTCAGTCTCGTTGATGATCTCCATGAGGGGAGCCTGTAATATGCATACAAGAAGATCCAACAAATGCAATTTGCTAATTTGAACCAAGATGCACCCCAGTACATCTTTCCCTTTTATTTTTTTTAAGTTACTATATTCTCCAATACCAAATTTCTTTCACATACTACAATGTCATTATGGTGACTCATCACACAAGCTTTTCATTGACATTTCATTGTGAGATTGAGAGACCTTCCCAGCATTCCCAAAGAAACACATTTTTTTTGTGAGTGGTATCTAAAGCCTTCAGTGATTGATTCTACTTACCTTGATCTGAGTTCTGTATTTGACTAGGCAGTTTGGTCCTGACTCAGGATTAAACTGAATCTCAAAGTCGTGGCCTTTGGAATTCTCAGCACTTACTGGAATTAATTTCAGCTTTCGAGCCAGTTTATGATACTCTGCCAGTTGCATTTCGATCTGCTCAGAGGAGAAAAGGGCACAAATCATAGAAAGAGATACAAGTGAAAAGCTTTGCAAGAAGTATTCATACAGTACTTTACACAAGTTCCTGAGTTGCTCTCTGTAACCTTAATTCCTTGTTACCCCACAGTATTCAAGAGCTGTATGCAATGCCAGTCCAGCAGTTTGCTGCATTAGGTACAGTTTTATGATTCTTTCAGAGTTTGCACACTGAGGTTTCTTAGTGTCTATGGCTGAGAACACTGAATGGTTTCACCTGTGGTTTTCCATATTCATCTGCCATAATTTTTCCTGCCTCAAGTTTTTGAGAATTAGCTGATGGGGAACTAAAATCGTGCTGGAAAATAATACTAAACAAATGATCAGTCATAAGGTCAATATGCCTTCTCTCATTAGTTTTGACAGGAAATGCTACACAGCCACACATCCTAACAACAAACTAACTTGACCATGCCTTTAAACAAAGCTTATTAAATGCTTTAATTTCTAATTAATGAGTGCTATTAAATGCAAACATTAAAGAACCCAGAGGTTCTTTTTCCAGTTTTATGTGCTTCATACTTGCACCTGAGGATTTAAGTTAATAAAAGTGCTTGATAAAGGGTAACCCTACCAAATATATTTGAAATTTTTTCTTTAGCTCTCCAATTGGCAAAGCAGAACCTTTAAATCCCATCACTTACACGACTATATCTTTTCATTCTGTTTGAAGGGATTGAACTTGGCCCTTGAAAGATGTTACAACTGCTGCAGTAATCAGTAATCAGGCCCTAATGTATGCAAAGCTATTGATTCAAATTCACTAGTTTTGCCTTACTTCCTTGCTCTGAAATATTAACATTAGCCTGTAATTTCTTGTGTTATCAAAGCAATGGCATGCTAATGTTATCAAAACTCTTAATGCTATAGCAGTGACAGCTTACCATGCTTCATATTCTAGACACATCGCTTATGATACAGAAAAAAGTACATTTCCATCAAGGGCAAAACAGAAAAAGGGAAAAAAGTGCAACATTTTTCAGAGATAATGTAAACAGAGGCCATTCTTGTCAGTTTTGCCTGGTTAGATATATGTATTGTGGTGGTGTTAGATTATTTAGGAAAGAAATTATCAAGACTCCAATTTTAAGCTTGCATGATGAAAACTGGCAGCCACCTCTGAGTGTAGTGGGGTTTTCACATACCGCCTCTTTATTCCTAGCATATTTTAGCTCTTCATTCCACAGCTGATGTTCTTCTGCTTCCAGCTCCTTAGTCAGCTTGTTAATGGTTTGCTGCAGCTCATTTCTCTCGTGATTTATTCTCTCAATGTCCGCAGCTGAGTACTTCTGGTTATCTAAGATGTGCCGGAGCCGGGCATTCTCCTGCTTCATGGCTTCTACTTCAATTTCTAAGTTCATAAAACATTTGTGAAATGGACATAAAATACCAGCCTATATACATAAACCTCACCTCTGTATTGTATGAGTAAATAACATAATTATTAGATAACATTACCATTCCATTACTCCAGTGTACAGAGAGCTATTAGACAAAAAAAAAAATCTTTATAAGCAATCCATTCTGGAAAGTTTATTTGTAGCATCATCCTACTCCAAGTATCTCGCTCTGCTCTCAAGCTGAGAAGTACAATTACTTGAAGACTATTTCTAGCTTCACTGTCCTGACTGGGTCAAGTCCTCCTTACCTGCTGTCTCAACTTCATCATTAACACTTTCCAGTTTTTGATCAAGGATGGATATATGAGATTCCAGATTAGCCAAATAAGCCTGGTATTTCTGGACATCTGCTTGAAGAGATGATTTCACGTTTCGTAGCGTTACTCTACGATCCTAGGAAATGGGTGAAAAGAACAACCACTCTTAGATAAATATAAAACAATGACTTCACTTTTCAGATAAGACAGTAGAGTAATTGATCAATATCAATAGCACAAATATAAAACTAAAGAACTTTAATAATTTTTTATCTCTGTGACAGCTAAGTCAAGTCAAGACACCTTTAAAATAACAGCAAAGAAGGCCAAAAAGATTCTTGCATTTCAGCATTAAGTCTCTCATTTGCATCAGACACTGCTTTAGACAATTCTTACTACAGGTAGTCCACAACTTAACTCTAATAATATATGGAGGGCAGATGAAACAGGGGCATGGAAAGCCGGGAATAAACTCAGCACATTTTGCACAGTTGGCAGGAATTTCAATTTGCCACCTGCACAGCCACTAACCCATTTTTAAACTCAGGATGTATTAAAAGCAGATCCCAGCTTTTCAAGCAAAGTATTTTCCATAAAATATATTTGTTACCACTGAATCCCATATTTGAATACCAACACATTTGAAAAAAATAATGTTGAAATTTATATTAAATAATTTGCTTCAAGTATTTTATTGATATTTCAGTCAATATAAGACCTTATTACCTGTAAATACCTGCACATTATCAAACAAATAGTTACTGAAGATTCCACAGAAAAACACAGCCTTGTTCTATAATGGTATAGAGTCTGTAAAAATCTGGCCTAATTAAAATCTCAAAGCACTGAAATTTTTCCATTTGTTATGTATCATAAGTATCTTCATCAGAAATGGTCAATATTATAAAATTAAACTCCACCATGTAAACAGACACAATTTACTAACCGGCTCACTTTCCTTTTCTTTCTCTAGTCTTGCAATCTCTTCTTGAAGTCTTTTGTTCTCAGCTGCTAAACTTTCCATCTGGAATGGATCTATATTAAATAAATCCTCTGTGGGAGAGCAGAAGAGAGAGTGGAGTTACAAATTTATCTCAATAGCACCACCTATTTTGAGTATCTGAACTTGAGCTTCAGCACAGTAAATACCCATTATCTGGATAATTATTTTACACTAAAGAAATAACTAAAAACAATCAAGAAACCTATAAGAAAAACCTTTCATTAAAATGTAACCAGGCAAAAACCCCAGAACAAACAAGAAGAGAAATGGGTTTCTCAGTCCTCATGTCAGAAAGAGTCCTCATGTCAAAGTCACTCCCAAGAGGTAAGGGTTTCCAAACTCTCATCCAGCCCACATCACAGGAGAGTATACAAGTCAGGACTACCTTGTGAAGCTAGAACAAATCAAACTTATTTAACAACCTCTTTCTTATCCATATACTTCCTTGCTTCTTGAGACATCTTTTCCCTTACTGAATTTGGCTTTGCCAAAAAATGGGATGATTATTTTTTCCCAATATCCAGTAACAGTGTGGTATCTTGTTTCCTCTCCAGCTGATGGCTCCAGTTTGCAAACAAAGGGCCCGTTAGTCTGGCTTTTCATAGGAGAGTAAAGAAAGTAAGAAATGTTTTTCTTCCTTGTTCTCACATTGTATTTCTGCAGGTGGTGAAATGAGTGAGTCAAAAAAACCTAATAATTTTCTACCTCCCTGAAGACAAACACAGGTGCATGCTGAATCACATACAGAACCCTCACAATAGAGTTTGGAACTCTTGCAGACTGCTTTCAGATCTTTCAAAAGCTGAACTTTCTCATCAGCTGTGCATCCTCTGAAAATAGTTTTCTTTTTTTTTAATTGTTAACTTTGCCAGACAGAAACAAGAGTCACCTGCATAGATGGAGTTCACATCTGAAGAATTGCATACTGGTTTTCTGTGACAAAGACATTAAAAAATCAGGTGACACAGCTACAGCTGATAGCAGATCATGACCTATCCATCTGTACTGCTAAAAATATATATAAAAAAGAGAGCATTAAGTTGAAGTAACTGAAACATACTTAGGTATTTCAGACTCCCTTAGATCACTTTCACTTGTAAACTGAACAAACCGATGCTAGGAGAAAAGAAACCAGTAACACAATTGAATACTTAAAATTTGAAAACTTACTTAATTTCGACTGCACTTCAGCATCCAACTCTTCAAAGGTATCTCTCCCTTTCATGAAAAGATCATAGCACTTCACACAGTAGTCCATGAAAAGCTGAAAAGAATTTAAAAATCTTTCGTTTCAATCATTCCAAGGCCTGTAAATTATCTGGATAGTCTAAAGCTACTCAATCAGTGGAATTAAACAGACATCAAAAATATCTTTAATGCTTCGATTGCACTTTTGTAAAATTAAACTTTTTTCCTCCCTTTGAACACAGAATGTCAACAGATTATATATTCAGGCAGAAGGAGACACCTATAATTCACACTAAGAAGGGTATGGAAGTACTGTATTTTTAACAAAGATATTTAACAAAGATTGTAGGTAGAATATTTAAGAATTTTTCATCTTGATGCATTTGATTCTCTCAGGCTAGTTTATGGAAACTGCAGGTCTGTTTAACAGACCTTTTCTATAAATATGACCATTAAAATTCAGATCTGCAGATCTCAAAGTACTCTTATCTAGAATTAAAGGAAGGTTACCCAAAAAGAATTTGCTAGACACTAAGTCACAGATGCTTCAGAAGTAATTACACCAGTATTGTGAATTTTCTATCTATATATATATATATGCATAAGTGCCAATGTAGAAGAACGTATTTAGTTTAAAAGCATTTTCACTTGCCAACCATCATGTTGTAACCTTAGTCCAAAATTATGATTTTACTTGATTTTTGCAATTTCTAATTAAATGTTTTAGCTTATAATGCAGCCCCCTCCAAACACCTGCTGTGATTTAACACTGAGTTAAATCTGAGTAGTACTAATAATCCATGATAAATTAAAAAGAAAGCAAGCTGTTGGATTAAGAGCTCGAATTATACTGCCACCCTATTTTTTGGCTCAGAAATAAAACTACAATGAATTTTTACATAGTAAACTCAGTAGATATTGGCACAAGTCACTATATTTAGAATTAAGTCACTGTCTTTACACTGAACTGCAGTTAACCTCAGAAGTCTTGCGTGCTAAAGGAAAATATATCAGAAACTTTACTAAAACAATAAACAGCATAATGATGCCCTTTCTCCACAAAGGAGAACAGTATATACTTGGAGAATAAGGTGAATATAAAATAAGGAGAATATTTTGTTTAATACCCAGTCTGTACCAATAGACTGATTATGATACCTGCTCAGGAAATAGTTGATCAGGTTTTTATATAATGTTACTCTACTTCCTAGAAAGCATTGTGAATATAAAAGGAAACAGAATCTATAAATACATGAAACAACAATCTAAACTGTAATTAAATTGTGTTGTTACAGCACATGGCAAAATCCACTTGAGGAATTCTGATTCTAAATTCCTTTTTATGGTACCTTATTATGTACAATTCCATCATCTGTCTCTCCTCCCCAGCTCTGTCTGTCATCAAATGATGGTGCATTTTCCCTGATCGCATTGTACAGCTGAAAAGCAGAGGTGCACACACAAAGAGCAAATATGAAGGCATCCATTAGTTTCCATATTGGTTTTCATGAAAAGAAGCAAAGTAACACTGGATGAGGATTTCAGCCAGCAGGATGGAATATGCCTGCGTTGAGTTGACTAAACACACAGGTAAAGAGGCATGAACTAGACAGTCAACATTGCCAAATTGTCTTGTGTCTTTTGAGCAAAAAAGGACAGGGTTTTCATGGGTGCTCAATTCAGCAGTGGTCAACTTCTGTCACAGATGCCAAATTTTGCTCAGACCTGAGCTGGTAGCAGCAACAGTTACCACTACTAAAAACCCAAGTAAACCAAACAAAACTAAAATTAAATAAAAACACCCCACCCAAACTGAAAACTCGCCACTCTGTATCAGAATCACAGGACATTTGAATAATTTCAATTGAAATTGAAATTAGGTTTCAAATTTAGGAGAGAATGGCAGATGTCACAACATCTCTACTGGAGATACATGTTCTACTCAGTGATTATACTCATTAACTTCTCACGTTTAATGTATGTACAGATCAGCTTTTCACCACCTTTTTTTTATACATTTATCCAGTGCACACATTTAAAGAAAAAAAACTATCACAATATAACACGAAAAGCTCACTTTAAAAGTTACTAAAACATAAGGCTAAGGGTCAGCTCCCAGATGACAGCTGAGAAGATCTATGTTTACATATATGTTAAACAAAGAGATTTGTAGAAAATATGTACTAAATCTGTATTGAAACTAACATTCCAGCCTGGAAAGTGAAAATATTTATCTTAAGACAAACATTACCTTGACACAATCAATTAACCAAACCAAAGCTGCCACAATCTGAGGCCAGGTGTGTGGTGCTCCCACAGTGTACATGGAGCTTTTTGACAGAGCAAAGGGGTACCTGTAAGGCCAAAGAAGATCCATTTTTAATAGCTGTGGCAGACAGTGATGAAAACAAACCACCACATTTTGAAAATAAAGCAGCACATTTTTATATGTAGATGAAAGCACAGAAGGAAGAGCAAACTTAATTCTACCGTACTTCAAAGGAAATTTTGAGGAAAACTTAAAAAAAAAATTTGGGTTCTTAGAGCACGATTTTATTCAATTATCATGGGTTTCTCATTTTGTGATTCATAGAATATCATGGCTTGAAAGGGACCTGTAAGGATCAACAAATCCAACACCCTGCTCCTCATAGGACTGCCTACAACTAAACCATATGATCAAGAGTGTCGTCCAGATGCTCCTTGAACTCCCAAAACTTCAAGTGACTTGTCAGAATTAGTCATTTTATCCATAATTACACCCTTGGTGCAGCAGAGTGTAATCCTTTTCAACATTTCAAGCTATGTCAGCAGTTTCAAATGTTATAGATTAAAACAAAATTTTATTAAAATGCTGAGAAGTGTACGAAAAAGATTTGCACCTACATTTAAGGAGACCTGGCACTCTGACACCATCATGGGTGTACATTCCCTTTTTTAAATTTTTTTTATTTTTTAATGAGACTGAAAATTCAGTTATCAATAGGCAGAGGATTTTCTTTCCAAGAAAGTGTTGGGGCATTAATGATTTCAAACACTGAACAAATTCAGCAACAAACCACTCAGCTACTTAGTGTTTTTCTCCCCTCAACAGTAATTTTTGTTATTTCCACATTCTGCTTTGAAAGCAGAATGAGAAAAATGGCAGGAAAACATATTTTAAGCTAAATTAAATTTGTTTAAACTAAAATTAAATTGTCTTGATCCAAAATTCTGGAAATTTTAGTTCTTAGATTCCAACAAAATGAACAGAAAGGTCTGTAAAAGAAAATCGTGCCTTGTCTTTCAAAGTTCTATACAAATAATCAATTAAATTTTACATTACAGAGCAAGATTCCAAGAGCTTATAGTTCTGCAAATTCAAATATAAAATGTATAGCAGATGCTGAAAATCAGAGAGTAAACCTAGAGTTAAACAAAAGTGAAACAAAACAATCACAACATTGTACTTTTAGAGTCTCATCTGAATAAATAAACCTATTCATTCCCCCCAACCATCAATGCAGAATTCTTAGCTTTTAAATTTCCAGCCATAGCATATCTATTCAGCCCAGGAGACTAACAATAATCATCTTACCCAAGGTCTTTAAAAACTTTGGGAATTTCCTCTTCAAATTTTGAGTCAGGCAGTTCATAAGAAGGGCAGAGGAATTTATAGATAAAGGTGAAGATCTTTAAAAAGTCCTTAACTGATGGAGATTGTAGCGATTTCATGGAAACATTGTGGGCATAAGCATTCTCAACAAGGAACTGTGCAAAAGAAACACGGAATACCAGTCACTAAATAAAATTTATAGTTGAAACCAAGGGAAATAACCATTTTGATTAGCACATTTTACACCTCATAACATCCATGCAGAATAAATTAATATGTTACCTCACAAAGTTTTTTGATACATTGTTGGATGAATGCCTTGTCATGAAGGGGCCTGGGATCCTTTATCTTTTCTGTCCCAAACACACCATACTGGCTGCTGCGTGACCCTCCAGCCCCACTCGCTCTAGGGACAGACAATAAATACAGGTCTTGTGACAAAGCATAGAAAGAAGAACTCTCCATGTTTAAGTCACAACAATGCTATCTTTATGTTTTCTTTGCATTTGGTATACAAAGTAATACATGAAGTTTTCTCTTCATTTAAGGTCATTGGAAAAACATCAACCCGGAAGCCACAATGCCACATGTACAACAAAGGGATTTCTGCATCCTAGATGAATACTTTCTTCATTTTATTGACAGAAATAAACTTTTAGAGAGCAGAAAAATACCCCCAAAGATGAAGAAAAAATCATGTTTGTGACTGTAAATAAAATCTAAATTATTCAAGGAATATTCAAAAGGAATAGACCCCAGCAACACTGGGTTGCTATCAAGAAGATACCCACAACACAGAAAGTCATGAGCTAAGCAGAAAGTTTATAGATTTTGGGAAGGTTTGTATCTTAGAGAGAGGGAGCTAACGCAGAGTATACTTCAGGTGCCTTAACATTCTTCCTTAAACAAGAAAACATATTGAAATACTCTTAAGGTCTGCAGTGCACACTATTCCCAAAAGGAAAAAAAACCCAATAAAGCTCCCAAAGCAGTTCCTGCTCCACAGTATTATTGTTTAGTTAGCAAGGACTGGAGGAAGGCAGACCTGAAGGTCTGCTTGCCTCAGATCCATTATTCCCTATAATGAAAATCTGTCAAGAAAGAGAAATGCCAAAATTACAGAGGACCATTTTTGTTTTGACTTACAGTGCAGAGAACGAAAGCTATCCATACCTGTTCCCAAAACAGCTGACTTTTCTTTCTGAAGCTCCAGATGTAGGTTTGCTCATGCTCAGCTTCCCAAAGGTGCTTCTGTCCTTCCTGAGGAGCAGAGAGAAGGATTCAAGTGACTGCTTCTACCAATTCATCTTTTGCTCATACAAGAGCTATACACACACATATATTCCTAAACACCTTCATCCCAGCAACATCCCAAAAAGGTCAACTGATGCATCCAGACACCTCCTAAGAAAGGTGTAACAAAATGTTACCATTTGAAACATGACACAGGTACACAAAAAGGTTAAAGCAAGTGTTTTTGCAAAACTGGAGCACTTGTGCAAACATCCTTGGCTGTAAGGAGCCTTCTTCTCACTATTCAAATTTTTTTCTTCAGTTGCTACTCACACACTCAAACACACTATGATAAATCTCTTCAGAATTAGTTTTATATACTTATTTTTAGCAACATGACCAGCCAGACTTACATCTGAGGTGTCTGAAGACCCATCTTGTTGTTGTCCTGCACTCTCAGTGCCATCATAGATTGTCGACTGCTGCTTCCAGCAATACTTGAGCTTCGCCTCATTGTGACTGCTGTAAACCACAATCCCTCAGTATTCCAGCAGTATCAGAAAATCCAGCACCTAAGGGTATTTTCTTTTCTAAATGCCACAATGATTTTCCAAAGGCTCAGAATAAACAAGTAGACCTGTACATTGGACAAAAAAAAAAAAAAAAAAAAAGAAGAAAAAAGATTACGCTAGACTCCAGAAATATATAAATCAATAATTTTATTGATAAAAGTGTTAGTGCTTGTTCCAAACCTACTGTTTTGCCTTTCTTTATATTTGGCCACTTCAAACCTACATGTTCTAAAAGCAAAAGAGCTTGAGAAATTTTTCATTTCAGTCCACTGGGAAAAAGGCCACACTACCACGAGTACACAAGTACTGCTTACAGCACTTCTGCTGTACATCAGCTCCTGAGCCGCTTGTTCTGAGCCTATCGATTCCTCTGCAACTGATGTCCCAGTATAATAGCATAATAACTGGAAAACCTATTCTGAGATAATATTATGACTCTCTTCAGAATATGCATGCAGAATGTAAATCAAACTGGAATATTAATACCATTATTGCCACTGTGACATTAAGGGGGAATTTGAAGTAAACAGAACTCACGAAACATAAAATCACAAAAAAATTGCTTGCTTCTTCCCTCTACAGAGGTTCTACTTTATTTGTGGGATAGGCTTAAATGACTGAATTATAACTAATAAACCCCCCCTCTATTACAGACATTACCAAAACACATTATTAATATAAACTGTTGCTTCATTTGGCTTCCAATTCCACTGCTCACAAACCACAACAGAAGTTTAGCTCAAGCTCAATTCATAGGGCAGCATTTCTCACTGTGTCTGGGGAAGAATCTGCATTATTCCTATACTTTAACTGGGACCAACCACAGAAAGAATGAATTTTCACAAACATAGCAAGCAATTAGCTTCTAGAGTAACAGAATCAGTCTGGAAAAGACCTGCAAGATCATCAAGTCCAACTTATGACCAAACACCACCTTGTAAGCTAGACCATGGCACTAAGTGCTACATCCAGCCTTTCCTTAAACACCTCCAGGGACACTGACTCCACCACCATGCTGAGTAGGTGTGGTGGTTGTTTGAGCAAGCTTAACACACTCACTCATGACAGCAGTCCATTCCAGTGTGCAATCGCCTTTTCTGTGGAGGAATTCCTCCAACTGTCCCACCAAAGCCTGGTGCAGTTTGGGACCGTATCCTGTCGCTTATTGCCTGGGAGAAGAGGCCGATCCCCACCTGGCTCAGCCTCCTTTCAGGTGGTTCCAGAGTGATAAGGCTCCCCAGAGTCTCCTTTTCTCCAGGCTAAACACCCCCAGCTCCCACAGCCGCTCCTCACAGGACTTGTGCTCCAGACCCTTCCCCAGCTCTGTTGCCCTTCTCCGAACACGCTCCAGCCCCACCATGAATTGCGGGGCCCAGAAGCGGCCACAGCGCTGGAGGTGCGGCCTCACCAGTGCCGCGTACAGGGCTCTGTCACTGCCGTGGTCCTGCTGGCCACGCTGCTGCTGACAAAAGCCAGGACTCTGAAAAAGCAGAGTTTGGGCAGAGATTTAAGAGCAGTTTGCCAGAGCCAACACGCCAGCAGAAAAAAACCAATAAAGCGTAGAGCGCGGCAGAGCTGGCCGCAGCTCCACCCGCTCGCCCTGAGAGCGCGTCTAAACCGTACCGAAGGCGACCGGGGGCACTCAGCAGCGAGTCCGCAGCCCGGGACTCACCGCCGCCACACGGACACTTGTCCCAGGGGGTGAAGGGGTGAAGGTGCCGCTGCCCTCCCGCTCCCCGCCCTGCCCTACCGTTACCGCCAGCGCCGCCGCCGCCGCCTCCTCGCAATTTCAAATCCGCCCGCCCGGACGTGGCCCAGAGCGTCACACGGAACTGCGTCACGGCGGGGCCGCGGGCCGGGCAGCGCCGCGGGCGGGGACCGGGGGCGGTGGAAACGGAGCGGAGGAGGCTCCCACCCCCGGAAAGGCTCGGGACAAGGGCTATGGCCGTACGGCGACGTGCTTGTGCCCACGGTGAGTGTCTGACAGGCGCTGCCGGGCCACGGCGAGCCCTGGGCTTTTCTCCAGCCGCCGAGAGTTTTCCTAGGGAAAAGCCCGAGCTCTTGTTCCCTGTGTGCCCCCGCGGGGACGGGAGTCGGCGCCCGGCCTCAACAGCGCTGGGGCCGCGGCTGCCCCTGCTCTGGTGCCTGTGTTACTGCTCCTGGGTGCCGTCATAGTGATCTATGTCTCCATACGTATATGTGTATATATATTTGTGTGTGTGTGTGTAGATACAGTGTATGCACGTATATATAACTATAGCGTGTTAATGTGCACATATGTGTGTGTTTATGTGTGTGAAAACCGCATATTTTATGATTGCCTTTTTGCAAATATTAAAATGAATATTATATGTGCTATGTTAGAAAGTTATGATGTATTAATTTTCTTAACACATTTAACTAGTGTGTTAAATGTAGTTTTAGGTTATAACAAAATGTTAAAATAGAAACTATGCTATGTAAGATATTTTTTTAAAGAAGGGACTTGTAGCGAGATAGCAGCCACAGGACACCTAAATGTTTCAGAGAAAGTTTCTCCTGATAAGAGAGCAATAAATTCTCTAACTTCTTCCCACCTCACTCAGCCATGAAGACGCCAATTAGGATTAAGTGGAAGAAGTTGACAATGGCCAGACAGAATCCTGTGTTTGAATGAAATTTATGTGTCATGTATGAGGTGTATGAATATGCAGCAGGTTATTGTTTTTAGGGGTTAATCCTTCATTAACATGTGTCCTTTTTTGGGCTTATGCTGCCCAGGAAAAGGTACCCGGACATCCGTAACTCTTTGTTTCTATTGTCTCATATTGTCCTAATCCAAATTGTCCAAATAATTATTACTCTAATTATATTGCTATTTTTATAACCATTTTTATTACTATTAAACTTTTAAAATTTTAAAAGCAAGTGATTGGCATTTTTCACATGTGTGAATATATATATAGCATGTGCATATAAATAGAATATATGTAGTCTATATAGCACATGTGTAACATATAAAGACATGTAGTGTAAATGCATGTATATGTGGTGTATATACAGTGTATAGATATACACACATACCATATAGTGTTAGACTTAATTGATGGGTCATAGGGCTGTTTTCTGACTTGTTAAAAAGGGTAAGTGCATACCGTATAAAGGCATAAAAAAGTTGTGTAAAATTTAGTTGCTATAAAAAAAGTAGTGGTATAGGGATGAACATAATGGGAAAAGCAGCTGAAGTCAGGAGTTTCAACAGTGTGCCCTGTGTGGGCATGGAAATGTCTGTGAGAAGGCAGGTGCTAATTTATTAAACAGTGATAATTCTGTAAAGTGAATTCTTATAAAAATTCCCACAGGAGGAGGTTGCTCCAGGAAGGCCAAATGGTTGGTGAAGGCCATGGTTTCAGGGAGCTGATTTTTCATCCTGAAAAGGGGACTTAGGATGTCTGTGGTACATCGTCTGACAGTGGGATGGCTTTTGGATCATCTCTCTTTCATCAACCAGTGTGGCTATGAGATCTGTGACTCCTTTGCACACCCTGGTGGCGTCACTCCCAATACTTCTGCCACATCTACCAAAGACTGTCACAGTAGTTCTGCTTTTGCTGCCACCCCCCCATCAAGCGACAGTCCTTCTTACTGTCCTGGAAATGCTGTAGAAACAGAAGGTAAAAGAGCAAAAATGAGATACGTGTTTCGGGAGGAGTTCTTTGATATTTCTAAGCCCCATATAGCTGCGGCTCCTGAGGAGCAGCTGTGTCAGGGATGCCCTGAGGTGAGTCTGACAGAAATAAAGGCCAACAGCAGCAGAGAGGAATACCAAGAAGGAGCAAAGAGTGACACTGGAGATTGTCTTGCCACTGCTAGGAAGGTATGTTATCTGTAACACAGTAAATTACAGTAATCCCTTGATAAATAATATACTACTAATACTGTTTTGCATACCTGAGTCTTTTTAGGTAGTGTAGAAGAGTGGGAACTTTTGAGAATATTCCTGGGTCCCTTCTCAGTAATGTGCACTCTGTGTCTCATAAGCAGTGGATTGCTCCTGAAATCCCCTGACACTGGTTGTGGTCAGGTACACAGTCTGAAGCTGTGGTAGCTGTTGAGATTGTGCAGATTAGCAAGTTGGGAAGGACAGCATGAATTTACTTTCAGTGTTGTTTAGTACTGTTCCATATGGACAAAAGAAAATAAGAGTCACTTGTCTAAGCCAATAAATGTAATCATGAAGACATAGTTAATTCTTTTCTCTAATTGGTAAACTGCCCTTGGCAGCTGAAAAGTTTTAGTATGGGCCCAAAGGAGGCATGAGCACAAACTGTGCACTAGGTGCCTTCAGATCCTAGTGCCATGAATAATTTAAAACAGCTTTAAGCCTATGTACCTTGTGAAAGCCTGCAGCAGGTTAGGTATTTTCGGATCTTTTTGCTTATTTGGCTTGTACTTGTGATAGAAAAACAGGAAACTTTCTTCTGCTTTTAGAGTTCATTTGTAATTCAGGTATGTTTGATGTCTTTTCCCCTTTTATTTCATTGTGGAATGATATGGATTTTGTTGTTGGTTTTTGCTAATTCTGCAGAAACGTAAGAGGAAATGTGTGTTCAACCAAGGTGAACTGGATGCTTTGGAATACCATTCAAAGGTAAGTTGGAAAAATGTATATTTTGCAAGTACCTGCTACTTGACTTTGGGCGTGTGCCGAGTGGAGGGCATGGTTGCAACCAAATTCTGTTTTTGTAGCTTGTTCCACTGGTGAAAAGAAGGAAAGGGAAAGGAAGGTCAATCTCTCCAGTCCTCATTTGAATTTGTGCTTACAGCATAGGTCTTCTATGTGGATACATGTGAAGTTGCATCTGAGACATTAGAAAGATCTGGAAGCTGCATTCTCAAAGTAACTTGGACTCTTAGAGACAACTGAACATTGTGTGGTGATGAGTTGAATATTAGGAATTGGCTGATTTGAAATTGGCAGCATAACCTGTTCTGAAGATCAGCTTTCAGTGTTTCAGGACACTGTGCTGGAGTTACTCAACACTTTGTGA